AGTATAGTCCATAATATCTTCCCCAATAAGGAACCCTTGTGTCATCATAACCCTACCAACCCTCGAAAGGTTGTTAAGGGAACCCTAAACCCCTAAACCGTAAAACCTGAACCCCTACACCCTGAACCCCTAAACCCTTGAATCCTAAACTCTTAAAACCCTAAATCCCTAAACCCCTAAACCCTAAAACCTGAACCCCGAAACCCTAGAATCCTAAACTCTTAAACCCTAGACCCCTAAACCTTAGATCCTAAACCCCTAAACCCTAAATCCTAAAGAGCCCCCGCCAGGCCCCGAAGATTATTTGCGTCGGCCTGGTGAAGACCGGCCTTCAGTCCTTGCGTGAAGCACTCCACAAGCTTGGCATCTGGGCTTCAGGGACTGAGGGAAGATGTTATAGGGTTTAGGGTTTAGGGTTCAGGGTTCAGGGTTTAGGGTTAAGGGTTTAAGGTTAAGGGTTCAGGGTTTAGGGTCTATGTTTTAGGGTTTAGGGTTCAGGGTTTAGGGTTCAGGGTTTAGGGCTTAGCAGGGAATATACCTGCTATCATGGAGAATCAAATGGAAAAGAAAACGTATATGGGAATATATAGGGATTATATCATATGGGCATTATATAGGGATTCTAGGTTTGAAGTGCATTTGGATGACCACAACCCCGCAAAAATGAGTAGCTTATGCTAATCAGTCATATGATTGATTCATCATATGATGCTAGAGGGCTCAGAAGTGGGTGTCAGGTTCCCGAAGTTCTCTTGATATGAGGGACCCCTTTCAGAGGTTTTCTCGAGGGGACGGAGTGTGGCAGGGGACGGAGTGTCGCAGGGTTTAGGCTTTTCGGGTGGTTTAATTGGAAGTGCAGGCAGGAGTGGGATAGCGGGCCTACCATAAGGGGTTTGTACAGGGATCCGTTTCGTTTAGGGTTTGCGGTTGGAGGTATGGGGCTTGACGTCTTGTGGCTTAGGGTTTGGGATATATAGCCTTTTTGGGGTGTAAGGTTACGTAAGGGTTCGGCTTGGGGCTCAGGATCAAAAAGCATTGAATTACCAAGTTCCGAAGGCAACAGGAACGCCAATTCTGCAAGCGTTGCGGGCTTCTGAGTGAATTGTCAGGATTCTGAGGGGTGCGGGATTTACGAATGCCGTGCATTTTGAAGGCTTACGAGGCTTTAGAATTGCACAGACGGCGTGAATCTTAGACATACCTCCATGTCGCATGAATGCTTGGGAGCGGGATTAGGGGTCATTTGCTAAGGCGAAACTTCACACCCTCAAAGCTTAATCTAATTGAGTAGCGTTTATGATCAGCTTCCAATATAGAGTAAGATCATATCTCTTTGGATAGAGTAAGAGGAATATGATGTTGCTGGGTTCCACCACCACGACACGATCCACTTGACTCTCAGACAGCAAAGTTAAACCTCAACAGCCCAAATCCCAATAAGTCATCCCAAAGATAAAAAGCCTAAACAGAAACATGAAATCTGCTGAAACACATGTCTCTGGGGGACCTTAACCTTCTCCACCGAAGCCCTCCTTCATCCCAAACCTGCAAGCGGCGCTTACAAACATACATCAACGCACGTGCACAAACGTAAAAATACGTGGAGGAAGGAACACAGGAACACCTGCATACGTAGCCCTAGATCCCAGCTCTCACACGCTGCTTTTCAAGGCTATGAGCGCTTCTTCGACCAGGATCAGTGTCCTGATGTCATGGTGAAGCGGGTATTTCTCAAACATTGGCTGCCCCTGGGGGTTTCATGGATGTTGGGTGGGTTTGGAGAGAAACTGCACGGCTTGCCCAGAAGCATTGCGTTAGGACTATTTAGAGAATTTCCAAGTACCCTTTGCTGCAAAAGCGCGATGGTGCGCGAACGGGTGAGGTTCTGGTGTCCTGTGCACCCCCATACTCACAGGTTGCCAGCACTCAGCCACTTACATGTGGCTTATAACCCTACTTTTCACATGGGAATAACCCCCATCAGGGCATCAATCAAGGGGAACTCAAGCACGTTGTTTTACGCCAGTCGCTGGAATTCTGGCTTGTACGAGGAGTTCAAGGTTGACTCTGCCCTACGAGCCTCCTTCAGGCCTCCAGAATTCTCTTAAAAAGCCAAGGGACCATGCGATTGGCCCAGGGTATAGGGTGGTTAAGTCATCATTCGGCTGAGAACATTCTGCGAGGCATGTCTGTGCGCAACCACGCAGCATACCTTCAATATGAAATCTGAATCCTTTAATTGGGCCAGACTGGCCACAGCCTCGATTTTCAGGAATCGCGTCAACCCCTGTAGAACATACCTTCTCTGAAGCCTTCACAGCCTGCCAAGGATTGTCTCCACATACCCCTTGTGGGACATGCTTGTCAGAGGTGAAACTGACAGCGCGAAAGTCACTTCCCGGATTCAGAGGCGCCGCTGCAAGGGTTTTCCTTATGAGCGGTTAACCTGAATGACGGGATGGGTCCCTCCACTTCATCAATTATTAAGTCTCGTGACGTGGGAGATCAGGTTTTGCGATTGCCTTGGTGGGTGCATATGATTCATTGCGAACTGTGGTGGGACCACGAAGCCTTCTTCATGTGGGGCTTTGAGCTCAGATAGGGAGTTTACAATTGATGGTTTTCGGGCTTAGCACCGCAACTGAGTGAGGCTGAATTAAGGGTTACATAGGCAATTTGTTTGACATTTGAATGCCATAAGGTGCACCGAGTAGTGTTGTTGTTGTTGTTGTTGTTGTTGTTGTTGTTGTTGTTGTTGTTGTTGTTGTTGTTGTTGTTGGTGTTGGTGTTGGTGTTGGTGTTGTTGTTGTTGTTGGTGTTGTTGCTGTTGTTGCTGTTGTTGTTGCTGTTGCTGTTGCTGTTGTTGTTGCTGTTGTTGTTGTTGTTGTTGTTTCGTTTGGGACCGAGATCTTCAGGTTTGGGGGCGCCGTCTTAGACGAGAATAGAAATTAGTGTTCACTGAGCCTGTAGCCACTGTAGCCCCAATTCCTACATCCGTGAGCCTGAGTCTTCAACCACAATGCCCTGCAAATGGAGGACGTTGGGCCACTATGAAGTCATCATGGGGCTCCCTGCAGCTGTGTTCTGGGAGGAGCAGTGACCTATGGAGGGCTTGCCCCACCCCAAACAAATTCAGAACCCCAAGGCAGACCCTGCTAGGACTAACGTCGCTTCAAGCGGTGCTTGTCTTGGGTGGTCCCAAAGATAGGTGATTCTTTTGCGGGCTTTTTGCAAGATAGTAGCTTGGCTTAAACGAGGAGGTGACCCATCCAACTTTCCATGTAGGAGGTTTGGGGTTTTAGTTTTCGGGATCTAGGATTTAGGTTTGAGGCAGTTCTTGAATGAAGGCTACCAAAGGGACGTGAGAAACTCCCACGTTGACTTTGTAGGTGCGGATTGAGGTACCTTTGCTGACCACATGAAGCACTTCGTTTGTGATTCTGTAGGAAACGTGGACTAACTTAAGCTTTCTCTCTACAATAATTTGGTAGCAACTTTGGTTACTTCAAACCTTGTATGTCAGAGTGCTACAGAAAGATCCCGTACTAAGATGCCTTGTTTTTTTCATAAAAGGGTTACTGTCACAGCATGAACAAAGGGTCAAGCAGACCTCGTTTCATGCAATCCCAGAAACTTCGTAAACGACAACAGACAAATGAATCTCCAACAACCATCAGAAAAGTGTGCATCATATCGCGAACTCAGTAGTTGCGCCGTGTGGGACATGCTTGACAAGTAAAGAGGCCGCATAAAAAGCCTCGCAGGCCGTAATATTGCCGAAGTCTATCTATCACAGGCGCAGTAGCCCAAACTCTTCATCCTGCATTCCTAGTTACTCTCATCATTTAGACGACTACTCTATATTTGTAGCACGACCACCACCGGTACGACCTAATGCGATTACTACTGTCTTCATTATCTTTATATTTTTATAGAGTATCAAATCGTATGGCCGAGACCTGGAGACTCCACACCCTTGAGCCCCAACGCACCGCACTCAATCAACCTTGCGGCTCCGGCCTTACTGGTGCTCAGGGAGAGTAGGGCCTAGGATTTAGGGTTCAGGGTTATGGGTGTAGGGTTTAGGGTATAATCGTGCCTCCATAGTTTCCTATCATAGTGCCTCTACTCCTTTCCCGAATTTACCCACCTCAACATGGTTGCCTGGGGGAGTGGATCCTGACCGTAATCCTCATGTAGTCCGGTATTATGGTACCTTTAATTCCTCTTACGCCTCATGAAGCAACAGTATGTAGCTTGTCACATGAGCAGGCTGCTTGGAGCCACTATGGTACAGTCACAGCCTGTAGAGATATGAGCATCTCCGTCCATGCTGGCAGCTGCTTTTTCTTCATGTGCTCAGATGATCCCTCTGCAGACTACAAGAAATAAAGCCTACACCATATGCCATAAGCTCATAATCCCAGAGTAACCCCCACAAACCCTTGACCGCCTCCATCACATATGAATGAATCGTCTCTACCCTCATACGAAACCCAGCAGCCATGTAAGCCCATCATTGAGAAATCAATCGCAATATTCCTGGGTCTGGGAACACCAATAAGTTGAGACCATCCTCTCCACTTGCGGAGGTAACACGGCAATTTCCAGACGTTATGTCTTCGCGAGAACATGTCCGTTACGGGCCCTGAATTTCAAAGTCTTCCCAGGTTTCAGGCGCATCTTCTGAAACCATCCTTGACGGGCTTACTAAAGCCGACGATGGGACCCAGAATATGTATGATTGGGTGGGTAGGGGGGACTCATTATTACGCGGAGGTCGGGATGGTGAGTAATATCGGATACTTCCCAGGACCCTTTATGCAGTACTTTACAGCAGATAACGCCTCGGAGACTTTGAATTCGGTGGCAGTGTTTAAACACTAGCCCTACGTTCATTGCAACAGTAGACCCCTATAGCCTTCTCATCTCTCTCTCTCTCCCCGAAGTAACTAGAGCAACGCAATTCCAAGAAACTCCCAGATTCATCAGATGGAAAGGAGCTGGTACAGGCCTTTCCAGGAGCGAAGGTGATCCTCACCGACCTTGACGAGGACTCAGGGCTCAGAGTTTGGGGCTACAGGTTTAGACATGGGCGTTTCCAAGCGCTCTTGGAAATACCTTTTTGTGAGGTTGGTTTTGGGTCAAGTTGTGAGCGTCGGACGTTGAGATGAAGGGCTTGGGTTGGTTTGAATTACTTGAAAGAAGGCTGTAGGATGTATTTGTTAGTAGCTGCTGTTTTCGCACCTTGGGCTTCAGAGCAATTCTGTGATTAAGGCCCAGGCTTAAAGGTTTGGTCTGGCATGACCCTAAATTTTAGGGTCATGCCAGAACAAACCTTTAAGCCTACACCGCCCTAAAGCCCAAGACCTGTAAGCAGCAGCCTGATTATGAAATTCCTGAAGCTTTTATGCAGCCAAACCCCAAAAGCTGCTTTTTGCCAAGAGAGGAAATTTTTGATCAACAGTGAATATATCAACCAGAATCAAACAGGATCCCTTGCGGGTAAGTGTTCGGTTAGCCAGTGTCTTTGCCCTCTCCCTACTGGGTAGAGTTTAGGGGTTCAGCCTTTATGGTCTCAGCCCCTTTAGCTGCCAGGACCAGTGGTGGCTGTCCACCTCAAAGGCGAAGGAGGCCCTGGCACGAGATGTGCCAGGGGTGCCCCTCAACAACAGCCCTGACCCACGTCCGCAATGCAAGGCTTCAACCGTGGGCCCAAAGAATACATTCCGAGTCTGTTTTGAGGGAGTAAGAGTCTTCAAAAGGCAAAGAGAGGTACGTGGTGACCCCAAGGTCAACGGCGCATGCTATATGCACCATAACTTGACGCAATGGCGCAGCAGTAGAGTCAGGAGTGTAGGGTTGGACTTGTATCAGGATTCTAGAGGGATGTATTCCCCGAAGCCTCCAGATGTGTAGTTATCAGGTGGGTATCGTTAGCGGAGGCCCATGTAGACCTCAGACGGCTCCATTGCCCTTGTATGAGCCTTACTCGCCTGGGGATGTCCTTGAGTGTTGAATGCTCCTGAATACAGAAACATGAAGAATCGTGATTTTTCCTGAAAGCCCGTACGTCGCTGTTCGACTCTAACTTGTATGAATTTTGCTATTCGGGCACCATCCTTCGTCAAAGTCACCATCCAATCTGGGAACTTGGCCTTGCGCAGGGGAGGCTTGTTGTGTCCTGCAGCCAAACCCCTGGCTTGTTCCCTCAAAGCCCCGCGCCAGCTGTAACACCTAAACCTGGGGGCATCAGGTAAAGCACTGGCTCCAGCGCATCTTCGCACCCTCCTATGGAAAGTTCTGTGCATTTCTTCGCTTTTACTGGGCAGCCAAGTTGGGCTACAGTGCCTCAGCACGGATGTTCAGGCTCACAGCTTAGGATTTCCAGGGCGTATTGGTTCGCGCTCAAGGAGCAGTCGCAAAACAAGCGGCATATCACCTTCGGACATAGTGCTGCTGATGACAATTACTTTCCGATCATGTCCCTGAAGCTTGCGACGCGATGTCTTTGACTACATTATGGGGTAGTCTTCGGGATGAGTGGGGCCTTACTGGCGAAGTGAGCTATTGCAAAGACAGAGGCTGGCCTAATTAAGACTAACGCTGCAGCTGCTCAGGTGAGGGGCATGTGAGCGAGCACGTGGCGCGACGGAGGTTTCGAGAGCATACCTCCTACGTCAAGGCGAGGACTTCAGGGCTTGACCCAAATGACGGATCCCGCCTTGTGTGTCCCAGATGTCAGCCCCATCAGTGCAGGAAATTTTCGGCCTAGGTTGCACAATGAGGAGCGCAAGGTGGAAGACTTGTGGACAGCCGTGGGGCCAGGATTTTTCCACTGCGGGCCAGGTCCAAAACAAGCTTTTTCAATGAGTATTTTACTAGGGCCTGAGGATTCACTAGCAGAGTCTTGACAACGCAGCACTCTGAATCGTCTCAGTGTGGGCTGCCAAAGCTCGACCTGAACCAGGTTGTGTTACGCGCTTCTTGAGGCCCGAACCACATGCCTGAAGCCTTAGTTTCTCAAAATAGTTAACGCTAGAGGCCAATATAACTCCTTCGTCGTCGCCGATTCTGGACATGAGTTTCCATTCTCGGCCTACAGATTAAAACCCAAGATGGAATGCGGGGTTACATTGTTCATGACATCCTACCTACAAGTAATACACAACAAGAGCTTCAACTCCTTGAATGAAGGCTCGCATGGCATCAGCCTACAGCGCCAAGCAACTACTAGTGTGCCTTGGCGGTCTTGAATACCTATGACAGGGCACCCGTTCAGCTTCCGCATTCATTACAGAAGGTGCTATGAAGGGTGCTCGAACCAGAGGGGGCCCGCCCCCAAATCTGTTTGCTTTCCAGTCTACAGTTCGGAGCATGGGTGTTAATCCTAAACCCTAAACCTTAAATAGTAGTTTCCATTTTCTTTTCCATTATCCCCTAGATATCCCCGCCTATAGAATTGGTTAGAAAGGCCTGGAGCATGTAAGCCTAGCGCTGTAAGTTCTGGGAGCGCCCCCCACCGCACATCCTACACTACTATAGCATATTGGGGTAATATTGGCATCAAGCTTCCGAAAACAACAAGCCAGTGTCTCGTGTGGGGGGGCCGTAGTACAAGACTCTGGGGCCTCAGCGCTCTCAGATGGGTCGTAGGTGTGGTAGTACTTCCAGTAGAGGTACAACTAGTAGGAATAGGAGGAAGGAGAGTAAGAGTAGGAGTGGGAAGAGGAGGAGGAAGGGATATGAATTTGATTTCAAATGCGCACCATGATTTTAAGGGGTGTGTTGGGCCAGTCAGCTTGTTGGTCCTTCCCCTTTATAAGAAAATCAAAGCATCATCCCCTGAACGCCCAATAAATGGACAGGCTATGACAAGAACACCATAGCTTGGCAACTCAAATCAAGTAGCAATCCCAAATCTGGGGAATTTCTCTGGGCCTGGGTTTTTTATTGCTACCATCCCCCCTTTACAACAAGGAACCCTACATTATACGGCTATACATCTTCAGGTTACACCGCAGGGAAATTTTTGAGAAGTACCCAATTGGCCTGTTCAAAGTCTGCGTCAGGGAAGCTCGTAATCCCGTTGCCAAGTAACTGCAGAAACCTCCATGGAATGACTTAAGACAAGTTGCCCAGCAGGAGTTTATGTGAGAAGAACAGATGGTTGATAGCCACCCCAGACCTTCTGGGCAGCGTTGACCAGGGTTGTAGTCCTTTGAAGTGCCAGAGACGACGGCAGAGCTACAGGATTTCAGCAGTAGGACCCTCCATGACGGTACAGACCTGATCATGTTCCCAATTGTTCTGATGCATTTTCCTCGCCCTGGTGCAACATGTTGCCAATCTTGTGCCCGTACATGTTCGGGGCAGTACTTATGATTTGGGGCCGGCAGGTTGTTCTATAATGGGGAGGGGATTGCAAGGAGCCATGAAGAGCTTTTGAACAGCTCTAAGATCCGAGCAAGCAAGGCAGCAATAACATATAGTATGCCTGCGAGCAAGTATGGCAACAAGAGAACAAAAATAGCCGCTACATGTTCATATCTTCGCCCCAGGAGAATGTTGTTTCATAAGCTTTGTGTTAAAAGAGGGACAACGGCTTCAAGAACAGAAGTCAAGACCAGCATGACCGCGGCCAGACAGATACATCCCAGTCCAAGATCAGTGCTGGTACTGCCGATACTTAGCAATGCAACAAGATTTGCACTCCGAACCTAAACCCCGCACCCTGCACCTCAAACCTTCAATGCCACACCCCAAACCCGACCCCAGGTACAACGTCGTAGACGGCTGGATGCCACTCTGCAGCTTCCTGGAACAGAAAGAGCCCGCAGACGGATTTCCGGAGGTGCGCTACAAGAGCCCTGGGTCCTGATATTGTGGGGTTTAGGATTCCAGGGTTCTGGGGAATCGGCCACCCATGTTTGTGCGGTTCTCAGGATTGCGAGATCCAACTTACAGGCCTAGGTTTATTGACCCAGGGCTTCTATTTGGGGAGTCCATGGGAGTCCTTTCTAGCTATGCATCTACGGCACCTCGAAACAAAGAAATGAGGTTTGTGGTCATCAGGGTTTCCAGTTAGGGGATGTCCAGGGAATGCCAGGGATATCTTACCCCAATGGTGGAGAATCAAATGGACAGAATAAGGGAAAGGAATGACAACTATGGTTAAATATAGATAGATAGAGTATCGCAGCATTATTATCATCCCTAAGCCCTAAACCGTAAATTATATCCTTTGAGGTTTAAGGCTTATTATCCTTGAGGATCAAAATTTGGGGCAGAATTGTGGGAATGATTTGGTTCTTGTGGGATGGACTCTGACCTGAGTTGCCCTGCACTTTAAAGTTTAGGGGGTTGAAGGTCTAAAGGGGATAACACCCTAAGAACCATACTACACAGGGGTATATAAGGCTTCCAGGTGAGACTTCAAGGTATAGGAAGACAGGTTTCCAGGGCAGATCCCTAAGGTGCTTAAGGATCCCCATGCTAGTTGTTGATAGTGTATAATATCGTGTATCGTGGGTGTCTAGTTGGGAGGATCTCCAACTGAGATGGGAGGTTTATTTGTTATTGGACATTGAGTTTAGCAACTCAATTCTCTTGTACAGGCGTAGACGAGCATCATCAATGGACTGCAGTATGCCCCGAAGCAGGATGCCCCTGAAAGATGCCACAGCCTTGCAACTTGTAATCAGGGGTGGCCGAGGGTAACATAGCCCAGGAGACGTGCTATGCATGAATATTATGTATGTATACACATATATTTTCATTGCGGTCCTGGTATTGTTCTTTCACTCCTAGAGGATGATGGAACGAAGAAAGAGGCCTCATCACAGAGTCCATGCAGGCAGGCTTGGCTTTCTAGTGTCGCACGAGGAGTTTAAGAACGAAATCACTGCCAAACCCATGATCAGCCAAGGAATCGTGACAAGAACCAGCCAGAATGGTTTGGCCGCGTCACCGGCATGACCCTCCTGTTCCATCCGAGCCTCGACCCTGCTAAGATGCCTTTGCTCCCAGGTCCAGTGCGGTCCGCATCGCATAACAGTCCTCAACTTCCCAAACTGTAGTTATATCATACTCCTATCAGGGTTGCTGTATATGACTGTAGACGGGCAGGGCAGTAGGCAACGTCTAGGACTCTGACCACGAGCCATCCCTGGACCCCGTGCAAATCGCTGCACAAGCCACGGCTTGGGGCAAAGGAATCCTGCTTCTAGGTCAGGGCCACTAAGCAGGACGGGGATCTGGCTCATCTTGATAAGGCGCCACCTGTCACCGGAAAAAAAAAGGTATCTGCAGCCGGTAGATAAGATCCTGGGTGGTTTATGCATATTAGATGGTGCAGGATGTCTTCCATCAACTGCATGAAGTGGCTCCTGATCTCCTGAAACCGACAGCATGAGACCTGACTCGTTTGCACTAATACCTAAAGATCCTGCATATAGCAGCCTCCATTTTCTTTTCCATTATCCCAATATAAGACCAATATAACCCCAATATTATCCCAATGTACCCCCCATGCACAGGAATGGGGTCATGATCTCACTCCTCCGACGTGAGCTCCTGTCGAATGCAGTGATTGGCTTTTCTTTTGCGACGCTGCTGCTGTTCGTCCCATGGTCTCTCCAGTTAGGGCTTCAAATACGTTATAATAAGATCCCCAGATACCCCATATTCTATCTACTTAAGGGGGACTATAGGGCTTGGGGCTTAGTACGGAATGAAGGAACCCGAACCCGACAGTCTTTGGTCCCTAATCCCTCAAGAACAATCCTTACAAGCCATTCCCCCCATCTGCTGCTCAGTGCCCGGCAGTTGGGGTTGAGCATCTGGATTTTCGAGTTTTACATTCTGTTCCTAGAGCTTGCGGTTTGGGGTATGAGGTTTGCCGTTTTAGTTCAGGGCTTTGAGTTTGGAGGTCTTTTTGCTTTTGAGGTCTCATGCTTTTGGATGCGTAGTGTTCGTTTTCCTTTTTTGAGGGTAGCCCCACAGTAACCCTTTATTCTATGTGGCTCCCTCACCTCTTTGCAGCTCCGGGGGTCCTTCAAAGCGTGGGACCCAGGTGCTCTTCCTGCTGGAGGGCCCAACGCCAGCAGGCCTTGTCTACCTGGCGGAGCCTAGCGTCAATTCAGTCCGTTTTGTGTACTCTTAGAGATGTCGGGCACCCTCCCCACAACCAGTCAGAGAAGCTACTATATGAGCTGCTGCCAATGCTGCTGGATGCTGTGATTTTTTCAGAAGTACCTTGTAGACTCCTTAAGACCCTCAGTCCCTTGGTAGCTCTGGCCGGACATGGGATTTCTTGCGGTAGTTCAGCTTCACTTTGAAGATCTGCATTGATAGAAACCCATGTGCAGCGCCCATATCAGATTGACTGGCTGCAACACAAATGTCTCAGCATTCAGGATCGCTCTTGGGTCCTTATGGTATGGATTTTGCGACATGTTTGACTAACCCACATTGCCAAAAAGGCACATGCTGGTGAGCCTGCTAAAAGTCTGGAACGATGTAATGATGTAATCCTTCTTTTGGATGGGTGGGGCTCGGGTTTATGGGCACGCGCCCCTGAAGGCAGGATCAGTACCCAACGATTTAGTTTGGCTTCGTTGTGATAGACGTTATGCCTCTCCAAGTGCTTTCCTCAAGTCCAGACAAGGCCGGCTTAAGATATCTTGTGCCTGAGCACAGGGCAACCCGGCTTTTTTTCCTCATGGCCAAGGTGCTGGGGACGATCTGGACTGCGTATGTGGTCATGTACGAGACCATGTACAAAATCCCCTTCCTCTTCGTACTGTCCACAACACTGAAGTGCCTTCTGATTGCTGGATCCCTGCAAACAAGCAGCGTGGTCTACGGCGTTCTCAAGGAGCAGGCCGGCTTGGGAATGGGCCTGTGAAGCAATACTAGACTCGAAAACAATGCTCGAAATGCTGACAAGAGAAATCTCCAACACCTTAATGATAAATCGTCCAGAATGGGATTCATGGGTATATGTATATATAAGCAGTTATAGCTGGCTGCAGTAGCAGGGATTCTGAGGCTTGTCATGATGGCGACAAGAGGCAGAGTTCCAGGAGTAATCACAAGAAGGCGGTCAGGAATCCAATATGGCAGGACGCCTGCCTCTCCAGGGTTTAGGATTTAGGAGTTTAGGGTTTAGAGATTTGAGGTTTGGTTTCTTGTGGTTGTTACTGAATCTGCAGACGCCGCCAGGGATTGAATCTGACCCTGATATTGAAGCATCGGAGCCTTTCCCCCAAGAGGGCTCAATACGTCCAGGACAGACCCCAAGAAGGTCAACTAGGAGTTTCGTCATAATCGACCTAGCTTCCGGTAAATTTTAGTAGTAGTTACCCTAAACCCCCAGACCTCCAAGGTACACAGTAGAAGCATCCTGCACTAAAGCCGACAATATCCTTTTGACGCGGTCTGACAAAGTTGACCTAGAACAAAGGATTTTCGCTGGTTTTTGGCATGACGGATTATTCACAGCATTGAATGCTTTTAGCCGGGATAGAAAAGTAGCCGTGGTGTTTTGAAAGTTTCTCGCAATCCTGAAAGGCACTCCCGCAATCAAATCCCTTCATATGGCTTTCATGCCCAAAATAACCAGAAACATCTTCAGGTGGCATCTAGGGATAAAATCCCTTCAGCGCTCGTGCTCCTGACGAATCGGCTGACAGCTACAGCCTGCTGTTGTCTATACCTGCTGCTTAGTGCGATGGTGGGGGTGGCGAGGGCTATATAGGGGTTATAAAGGGGACATATTAGGATAATGGAAAATACAACGGAAACTACTATTTAGGCTTATTGGAGTTTTAGACTGCGTTTTTACCTATTATACGATACCTGACGTTTTACTCCCTTCTTTTTCTTTAACTATATAGGGCTGAAAGGTCGGGATGTTTGGTGCTGCGTTGAATGCCGTAAAATGATTTTGGGTGCTTTGCCTGTATGGGATTTGAGTTTTGAAATGGTCCAGGATTGACTGACAGGTCAAGGTGCGAGGGTATCCGCACTGACCTGTGAAGAGGTGAGTCTACTAGTCTCTGTTTTCCGCATTTTAGTCTCCGGACGAGTCTCCGTAGGATTACATGGATAGCTTCATAAATGTCTTTCGAGGGGTTGAGGTAGCTGGGTCTTCTTAAGGTGACGTTTTTGCCTCAAGACTTCATGTGCTTTTTGGTGCGGGCTTAAAGTGTCTTGGGCTCAGGAGTTCAGCTGAAGCCGTGAAGCAAGTAGGCCAAATAGCGGCAGCGCCAGTCAAGTTGCAAAGGGTGTGCCTGCGTCAAGCCCTCAAACTTTGTCCCAAGTGCAAGATTTTCGTGTTCAGTGC